TATAACGTTGTAATTAAGTTATAGTGAACAAAATACTTCTTGAATAACCCCCCCAAAAAAAAAAGAAAATGATTTTATTCAGAAGGGTTTTAATGAATTGTACTAATTTAAAGTAAATATTGTAATTTTTTTGCAGCTATTAATACACACTGCTTAAAATAACAAAGCGTTTTATTCAATATTTTTCGGAAACTTAAAACTAATATCGATAAAACAAAACATAAATATAAAGAGAAGCTTTATCAAAACAGCTTAAAAACCTTAAGTTTAAAATTATTTAACTTTTTTTCCGCAACAAATTGCCTTTAGGTTTTTGTTAGAAAATAGATGTGCTGCTGATAAATTTACTAAAATGCTTTTAAAAATTCAATGTTAGCTAACATTATAATTGAAATTAAAAAAAAAAACAGCAATTTTTTGCTGCTGGCAGACCTTTAAATGACTGCATTAAATGTGGTTTAACTCGAAGACTTGACCGAAAGAAACTGTAAATGAAATGATTAACAACGGGATAGCACTGCCTCGGAATGTTCCAAAATCTTTAGCGTAAACTTTAAGTTTCTTTTTGGTAAATTTTTAAGATACTTTTTGTAGAATACTTTCAACGTTTGGCAGTAAAATGCTGTTATGCTTTTGATACGATAAGTTCTTTCGAAGTAACAGATTGTTCAGATTTACACAGATTATTTTATTCAAATAATTAAGTTTTAAAATTTGTTTGTATTGTAATTTTCTGCGTAAACACTCTTAACACTCTACCACCCCTTTAATTACACATTCTTCAAAAAAAAGAGAAAAGTTTGTTTCAAATATTCAAAGCAACGATGTTGAAAGTCAGACAAAAGGCACTGATAAGAACTCTAAAATGTAGCTTTATTAGTAGTCAGTGTATAAAAATACTGCTACAAGAGACGCTTAAAATTAGCTGTACCAAAGCAAAAAGTACAAAAACAGTGAATGTGCTTTGACAAACATTGTAACATTCAGTTTCTTAGAAGCACTTTACTTGCATACAATATTTATCAAATGTATAATCAAATTCTACTGCTCAATATGCGTCGAAAAAAATTTGTAGTTTAATAAATGTTTGAATTATTTTTTTACAAACTTTTTCAACTTTTAAAATTCTTTTTCTTTACTTAGTACATGGCAAAATAAATATGATAATATATTTAAACAACCATTTATGATTCTTTGAAAGTACAGTAGAATTTCAAAAAAAAATTATGACTCTTAGCCAATACTGTTAGAAATGTTAAAATTTTGTAAATTGTAAGTCAAATTTTTTAAAACTTTCTGAAGGCACTCACATTTAGTTTTTGACCAAAAAAAAAATTGTTAACAAAAAAATGTTTTATATTACTGCTGTTTTTTTTTACATTATTTTTTGTATTGATTTTGATAGTAAAATTTAAGGTTTTTTGTGTATCAGCGCTGTCAATACTATCAGAAATGCACTTTTCAAAGTTTAGAACTGTATTTGAATGTTGCCTATCAAATGGTCACATTCTGTGTAATGACTTGTTTTTTTTCGGTCTTTCTATCTTCTGTTTCTATTTGTATGCTAAATTTCCCTATTTAAAAATTTTATTAAGTCTTGAAATCAAAATGAACCGTTGTTCACTTTACTAATGACCATCTTTGTGAATTTTTTTGGTGAACTGGATAAAATGTCATAACAAGCAGTACTGTTACAGATTCTAGTAATTATCTGTGCTTTTTTATTTTCTTGTAATCGTCAGTAAATTGCTTTGCTCAACTTTTGATTAATCTAAAAATCTTCGTGTTTTTTTTTTTTTTTTTTGAAACTATTGAAGCTCTTGAAAAAAAAGTTTTTTCTATTACTTGAGAAAATGTTATATTGTTAACTGAGTGATAATTAGATGCATAAGCTTTGACTCTTCAAAGTTTAAACTGTAAATAATTTTTTCACTTTTGTAGGCTGTAAACGAGTTAAATGTTGAATTTTGGCTTTGTTCAGCGTTTCAGTTCTTGTTGATTTTCTGTTTTTTTTTTTTGTACTGCATATATTTCTTCTTACAAATCTTTTATTGTTATTATTTTTTTTCTTTCGTAGTCCACTGGTCTTCTCAATCATCAATATTGATGCTCTTTCATGTTTTTTTTTTTTCTCCACTTTATTACTGCATTACTAAATTTTACTAGTAATTTTTTGGCAGAAACCAGTAATTTCAAGTGAAAAAAATTATTTTAAAAACCAATTTTGAAATGAACGTTTGAGCATTTTTGAAAGTAGGAGTAAAAAAAATTACAGCGACAGTACTTGAAAAATAAAATTACGGTTAACAGAAACAGGGTTCTTTCATTTCAACCAATCTAATTGCAAAACAACTATATTAACAACGTAATTTAGAACGACTGTTTACTATTTGCTGTCATTATCGACCACCTATTCTGAACTTTTCGAATAAGCTATTTTTTTTTGTACTCTTTCAAAAGTAGTCGAATATAACTGTGAAAAATGAAAGCAGCCACTTTCTTTCAACTGTGGCAGAGCAGTAACAAAGAATTAGCCTTCAAAATTATAAAATAGTTGAAAAAAATTTTAAGTTCTCCGAATCTTCTAATACCCAAATCATTTTTCAGGTCTGAAATTTAACGATTTTCCACTTTTATCATTCAACAGACTTAAACAGTACCTGGTTAGAGCCTTCACTGCAGCAAAAAAAAACTCTTTTTTGTTTTTTTGTTAAGCAAAACGTATCTGTTTTTTAAATCTCCAATTTTGAGCATATTTAATAACAGCAAAAAACAAAACTTAAATTTATTCTTGATCATTTTTTCTTACAATAAATTCTGTGCAAATTGCATTTTACGCTATTTTAGTATTTTGCGAGTGAACAGCTAAACTAGCCTAACACAAAAAAACCTACTTTTTTTGACAATTTATAACTGTTAGTATTTTGAAGGTAAGCTTGCAGTACTGTGACACTATAATATTCATGCTCAATAGTCAACGTTAAATTCAAAAAAAACTCTTGTATTGGGAAAACAAAAAATAGATTATCAGCGTAATCAGCCAACTGTAACTTCATAACTAGAATCCATCTCGCCGATTACAGTCTAAGGTAAGTAGACTGTACTGCAATAAAAATTAAAAAAAAAAAAGAAATCATAAAAGTTTGAAAAAATTATGCACAGACTTTTTTGTTGGCACGTATCAGCTTTATGCCGGCTGAAGACTCATCAAAAAGCGGAAAGGAGGTGGTCGAGACGTCAACAAAGGGTATGCTTTGGAAAAGCGGAGTATCACTGTGTTGGTTGATGAAAAGCTAAATAGGATGTTAAGGATGGTAAAAACTAAGAACAAAAAGCTAGCGCGCTAGTTTTGTGCTCAGATCATTAAAATTGCTTTCATACTTTTGTTTAGAGTTTAATTCTGCTTTTGAAATTTCTTATCTCTGATTAAATATTCTCTTATAAAACTATAAAGTGTAAAAAACTTTTATCGACTTACCCTCTATAAACAATGGTGGTAAACATATTCTAGTTTTTTTTAATGTCAGATGTTTTGATTGAAATGTTTCGATCGTATGACAGGAATAGTAATCAGCTTTTTAAAATAGAATAGGCTACACAGGTTGTCTAAAAATAGCA